GTATGCTTATGAGTGTTATCATGTTGGAATGTGAAGCATTGACCTTCGGCAAAATGTTGTGGTATTGATGCAGGTCCATGATTCCTTTGATTTTGTACAAATTACCAATTCCTGCTGCTGAGAATTCACCCTAAACAGTGATTTTTTATCATGTTTAAGAGCACCCTTGGTAGTCACTGGAGTATTTGTTTCACCAGGCGTACATCAAACACGTATTTGTCTTTCATATCTAAGAGTAAAGGGGCTCTCGTCACTCCACATAACATCTTCCCAATCAAATTTTGTCCAATGTAAATGTGCTTTGCACCAAGTCAACCATACCCGTAAATTTTTTCTTTTTGCCTTTTGCTATAAGTCTGCATCAGACTGTTCTTGAAGAAACTGCCAATCTAGCCACTTTGGAAACATCTTGTGTTGTTGTGAATCAATCTTTTTTGCATTGATGAACCAAGTTTCTATTTTCCCTGTTGGTATTTTTTAGCAGTCAGCCAAATCCTCTATGTCTATTATATGTTCCAGTTTGATTTCTCTTTTTGATTAACTTGTGGACACATGACTCAATTCAATTAAACTTATCAACTATCATTCTATTTGACAAGGCCAAGATCATGAAATGTGTCAACTTGGGCTTTCTTGAAGTCAGAACAATGCTTAGGCATTTTAATAAATTTAAATACAAATTTAATAAGCTATTTTGTTCATCCTTTCTATGGGTGTGTCCATTTTGTTTTTGTCTTGTACTATATATATATATACACATACTTGTCACCTGTCAATATACCACATAACACCCTTGATTGCTTAGCCTAAGAGTGGGTAGAATGGAGATCAACGTATTTTAGTGGACTCAGCAGTTTTCAATCTGCTTGTCTGAATCATCTTCAAGAAGCAAGAGCAAGATCTAAAAGGTCAGCCAATCGAACAGTGATCTTATCTCACAATCCTCACACTTGCTCCATATGTGGCCTCCTTTGTAAATAACTAGCGGGTCTTATGTCCCACTTAAGATTATCGCACAAAATTTCATAACTGAATCAATTAAGCTGTCAGATCCTCATATGTCGAAACCGATGAGAGAGAGTACATTATTATTATTATATATATAAACAGCAGACAATGTAAGTTTTTGAAAATTTTTATTTGATGCTTTACTTCTTCGATTCCAGGTGCTGACTTGAAGATACTAACCAATGCTTAAGTTTATTGGGCACAAAGCACAACATAATGGTTACAGAACCACAGCATTGATATTATGACAGAATTAATGCATTCTCCTGACCTCAATCCAATTAAGAATTGTGGGGTGTCCTTATTCATAAAGTGTATAAATGTGGGCATCAAAACCAATCTAAGGATTGAAAAATGCATGGGCTTTAATTTTAATGGACATTAACAGTTCCCAGCTAGGTATTTATGCTGATGACACAACTGTTTACTCTTAATAGGAAATCCAGTTGATCCATTAATGTAAAACTGGCAGTTTCTCTTGAAAATGACTTCCAATCAATTGCTAACTGAAGCAAGGAATGGCTTGTAAATTTTTAATGCCTCCAAAACAAAACTGCTATATTTAAATCACTACAGAGAACCTTTTTTGCCTTCCACCAGCATGACGGATGCTAACCTCAAGGAGAGCATCTCATTGCACCTTCTTGTTCTCATGTTTCCCACTGAAATGAAGTGGAAAGATTATAATGAATCAATTGCTAAGTCTGCTGCTAGGAAAGTTATACATTGTTTCATACCAGACAATTTTTTTGCATTAGAATCCATCTTACACATGTATAAATTTGCCATTTGACTATGCATTGAATATTGCTGTATATCTGGTCTGATGTTCCTGCTACATATCTTGAGATTCTCAGAAAATCCAAAGAAGGGTCTTCAATGATATTAGTCCTAACCTGGCATCAGGGCTTCAGTCACTTTCCCACTGCAGTAACATGGCTTCCCACCATTATTTCTATAATTATTTTCATGGCAGTTGTTCTAATGAGCTCTCTTCCTTGGTATCATGACTGCATGATAATAATAGTATAATACTAGAATATTAACTGTGGTGAACAATCATGTAGAAGCAAGCGAGTCAGATTGGCTTGAATCTGGTGCAAAGGAAAATAAGTTCCTTACCTCAATACGCAAGACATAGCATTAACATTTTTTTCCTTGAAAATACCATTAACCCCCACCCTTCACATTGCATGGTTTTAACAGTATGTGCTATAATGGTGGCTTTTGTACAGCTTAACGTGGTTCAACCAATAGCAAGTCATGTTCTAATTGGTCGGACTGGAGGAGGCTATTTGTGTGGGTAACTGAGAATAAAAATGAAGAACGCTAATTGGTTAGTCAGCCTTGGTGTTGGCATGATAAAAGACGGCTGAAACAGCGAGAAGGGGAGATTGTTTTTTGTGTTGAAGTGTGCAGAACTCACAAACAGTGGATTGAACACAAGGTATTTTGTATTGTACGAATGATATCCAAAAAATAGAGACTCATTTAAATACAGTAACTAAGTTTCATTGTTTTGCTGTTGAATTAGCTAGATGTAACTGTAAGTTCTTTTCTAAATTGTTTCTTTTCTTGCCTCTGGAATTATCTTCTGTTTTCTTGCTTCCTTGTTCCTTAAAATCTTCAAAAATTGAAATCCAATGTTGTTTGCAACCTTCTGTCTTAGTAAATTGTGTTCTTTTATTGTCCTTTTCTCGTCACTAAATTCTTCTTACTCTCTTTCACTCCCAGTAGCTCCTTGTGTCTTAGTGGCATTATTGCCTTGCTTGGAGAGAAATGATTAAAAAAAAAAAAATGATCATTTGTGTAGATTTATAGAAGCATTAGCATAATGCATTTTTCAAGTTGATTATGACCATTGAGGTGTTACAAGATTACTTTGACATTCTGTTACTTGACATATAATTTCACAACAGCTGTTTTGTTTTGTGTTTTAAAAATATAAGAAAATGTCTAGGATAAAATGGTTGCATGTAGTAGAAATTTACTCATAGCATATGTATAGAAAGACTTACATATAATCTGGTGCTAAATCAGCTAAATTCAGGTGCTAGTCTTATCAATGTAAGAGATGATTGCACTCATAGTTAACAAGTCAGTGGGTTTAATAGTGCAGCTAAAGTAAAGAAAAAAGGAATAAATAATAGAGGTAAAATACTGGAAGCTCTAAGTAGATCAATTTTTATGATGCCATTGAAGAAACCAGGGACAAATCAATGCAACCTTTACTGAGCAATCTGCTTGATAAGTCACAACCAAATTAAATAATTAGGATTCTAATGAATAGTGCTTGAAGCAGAATCGAACGTGAAATAGGGAAAGAAATTAGGGAACCTACCAGTCTTTGCTGTCCTAGGTATGATGATAAACTACATCCATGTCCTGGGTAAGATGATAAACTATGTCCAGCAGCAATACATTAAAAAAAAAAAATATTACCAACAATATGTTTTTGAAAAATTATTACCAGATTACTTATGAATCAGTTTTAGGTTGGATAAGTTTTTGCTAGACAATTTTTCTTGTCAGAATCTATTTGACATATTAATAAGTCTACCGTTCATCATTGAAGTTAAGCAACATTGAGCTTGGGCAGTACTTAGATGGGTGACCACTTGTGAATACCAGGTACTGTAAAGTTGGATGTGCATTTAGTGTAATGGATAATGGCTCAGGATTGTAATTGGTGTACCAAGTTCCAGTTCGGTTTATTATATTCACTCACATGAAAATATTCCCTGGGAAAGGTATGAATTAACCTCACCTCCCCCACCAGGTATGTGTTAATTAATCAGACTTATAATACTAAATCATTATTATCTTCCTCCCACCAAAAAAAAAATAGAAATATTTTCAGGTTTTAAATAACCTTCAAATGGTTGATAGGCCATAGAAAATGATTCAATCAATCCTAGGAGAATGTATGTATCTAACCTCTTCTTTCCACCCGTCAGCTATGTGTTAATTAGTAAGATTTTTATCACTGTATTATCTCCCCCCCCCACCTCCAAAAAATTCTAACAATCTAAAAATATTCTCTCACTTTAAATAATCTGCAAAGGTTGATAAGCTGTAGAAAATTAATTTCTCAGCTTCAGCCTCTGTTTCATTGCTATAACATAGCTTCCCTGTGCTTTGTTTATAAGTATTTTCATGGTAATTGTCCTGATGAGCCTCCATCTTTACTACTTCAACTTTACGATTTTACATCCAGTAGTAGATTGGCAGCTAGTTTTCATCATTTTACAGTTGAAATTACTAGATGTAAATAAGGCTCATGAGCCACTCATGGTAGAGGGTTACTGAATACGGTCTGTGATATGAACATAATAGAACATAGAAGGCAGTGAAGATTATTAGGATAAAATAGATAGACAGTGATTGACTCTTGACTTGAAGGGGTTAAGATTGTGTAGTGTTCAGGGAAACATCCATGAAGGAGTTTGTTTCACAAAGTAGCAATTCTTGAGGGGGGAAAAACTGTCTGAATAGAACGTCCTCCTTTAAATAGAATATGTGGAAATGTAGGTGATTCAACTTCATTGGCTGACCTTTTATGAGGCTTTTGTGATACACGCACCTTTTCATATCATGTATTTTTTTTTCCCCCAATAGAGACAACTTTATATTGTTTGATTCCTTTTCTATGCCTTATCAACCCATTGCAGGTTATTTAACACAAGAAAATAATTTTAGATTGTAAGAATTTTTTTTAGATAATAGTGATTTAATGATACAAATCTTACTAATTAACCCATATTTGGGGGGAGAAGAGGTGGATTCATGCCTTTCCCAAGGGTATTTGCATATAAATGAATATAACTGACCCAACTGGAATACAATACTCCCATATCCAAGCACCTAGTATACCTAAGCAGTTATCCATCTAGGTACTGACCAGGCTCAATGTTGCTTAACTTCAGTGATTCTATGGAAATCAGTGTTTCAAATTGATATGGCCGTAAGCCATAGCACCCGTACATCCAAGTTTACAGCACCTAGTATTCCCAAGCAGTTATCCATCTAGGTACTGACCAGGCTCAATGTTGCTTAACTTCAGTGATTCTATGGAAATCGATGTTTCAAATTGTTATGGCCGTAAGCCATAGCACCCGTACATCCAAGTTTACAGCACCTAGTATTCCCAAGCAGTTATCCATCTAGGTACTGACCAGGCTCAATGTTGCTTAACTATTGTAATTATACAGGAACTGATGTTTCAATGTGATGTGACCATAAGTGCCAGATTGGATTTTATTAAAAAAAAACATTACATAGTAGATGCACCAGACAAGAAATGACAACAATATTCAATACCTGAATGAATGGTAAACCTAGGTGTCAAAAAAATTCTTGCAAGAAAAATTGTCTAGCAAAAACTTAAACCAGAGAACTTTCTGAAAGAATACTTGCAAGATTATGAACTGTAACCAAAAGGAGTTGTTACTTAATTGCAAGAGATATAGTTATTCTATACTTTGATAAAAAAATAAGCTGTACTATTTTTAAAAAAAGGTATATCCCTTCAGGTGTGAGGCAATCATGACTCTCCTTTTCTTTATTATCTGTGAATTGCCAATGCCATGTCCCTTCAGGTGTGAGGCAATCAAGGCTCTCCACAGATTCCTTTTCTTTATTATCTGTGAATTGCCATACTTTCTGGGAAAAGATAATGAAATAGTTTCCTGTTTACCTATGACCCACAGGGTCCGTTTGCTTGAATGTATTTTTAATCCTTGATCCAAGAAAACGTTTGTCTATAGAGATATAAAAAAAAAAACTAAATAAATAACACAAACGCAATATGTATGAGATGAGGTGTACATGCTTCTGAGAAGTAAGATTCAACAAATTTCCAAAAGAGAACAGACACCTTTGGAAAGCTGGTTGGAGGGTAAAGTGGCTACATTGCTGGAAATGTGCAAAAACAAAAACAGACAAGCAAATTAGTAAGAACAAACCGCATGCAATGAATGTCGTAATGTTCTGGAAATTGGACATAAACGTTTCTGCTTGTTTTCTTTCTCGATTTCAATTTCTCTTTCCTCGAAAGTCACAAAGTGCTTTCTAAGATTCCCAGTTCATTGCCTGAATGCACTTTTCACTCTGAGATAATTACGACAATGATGGAATCTTTTATGCACTTTTTTCTTTCCCGCTCTCTCTGTGTGATTTTATCTAAAGACTAAAAACTTTATACAGTTTTTCATCTTAAAAACAAAAAGCAAAGAAAGCTTTTAAATAAACTTTTTCTATAGTCTGAAACCTATGGACATTATTTATTGGGTTGCATCAAAAGTATTTTCATTTTTTTAAAATCAAGTCTTTACTTTTGGAACCATATTTAGCACTCTGTATAAAATGTCTATTAGTGATTCTAGCTTTTCTGAAAGGTTTTTGAATGCTGATGGCCAGATACTTATCTAACTAATGTTTTAAAGCATCATCATTGACCACTTTACAGTGAAGCAATCCTGTAAGAATAAGAATCCATTATATATGGCCATAATCTTAATAACATTAGATATGGAGATAACAGTGCTGATAGCAGACATAGAAAGGAAACTAGAAGCACTCCTACAGAGTGTAGTAAAGGAAAGCAAGAAGAAAGGACTAAGTACCAGTTGTACTGAAGCTAGAATCTATGGCTGTCAGCAAAAGAAACTTAGCATGTGAATTACAAATTGGAGATAAAAATCAAGTAAGCACAGAAATTTGAATACCTAGGGAGTGTGTTAACGGGGGGGCCGAAAATGAGAGCCCTTAATCAGAATGTGAATTAGGATAGCAAAAGATTAGATAACAAACAGTAAAATAGAACTAGAAATGGATCTCCTCACAGATGGAGAAGAGACTTGAGGCAATAGAAATGTTATTCTACAGAAGGATGCTGAGAATACCATGGACTTAGCATGTGAGCAAACACAAATTTTTAGAAAAAATGGAAACAAAAAGTGCCCTTATACTTAACATCAGGAAGAGTTGAAATTTCTTAGTCACATAATGGGGAAAGAGACATTAAAAAATTTGACACTGACAAAGGGAACGGAGAAAAGCAGTGTGTAACCTAACCTGTTGAGCGTGGGTAAATGATGTTAGAACAGGGATTTGGAGAGATAGCAAAAGACAAATTTTACTAAGAGCTATAAAGGATAGGAAATTGTGGAGAGCCATGATTGCTCATGTTCTGAAGGGACATGACACACAGAAGAAAAACTGACACCAGTAAATGTGTGGATTGTGCTGAAAGCAGTATCTGTGAGCCAAGTTCAAATTTCAGCCTAGACTGCTGCATTCATTTCACAAAAATTGACTTGTGGAAAGACACAAATCCATATCTTTTTCTCTCCATTTATGGATTAAATGGCCGAGTAGAGTGGGTGCCATAGAGCAGCAACCAGTCTATAAGAAAGTAAACTGAATTCCGACCCATGATTGCCTATATCCTGAAGAGACACAGCATTGGCAATTCCCAGATAATAAAGAAAAGGAATCTGTGAAGAGCCATGATTGACTCACACCTGAAGAGACATAGCATTGGCAATGCACAAATAATAAAGAAAAGGAATCTGTGAAGAGTCATGATTGCCTCACACCTGAAGAGACATAGCATTGGCAATTCACAGATAATAAAGACAAGGAACCTGTGGAGAGCCATGAACACTGATGTCCTGAATGGACAACACAAAAAAAATCAATTGATGGTCATCAACTTTTGCGCTATATTTCAAGAGATATGTGGCCACTCTTAAAATAGTTTAAATCAGTTTTGAGTAAGACTATCAAATATCATTTTGTTTCCTTCAAATTCTCAAATTCTGTCAATAGCTTCTCATCTTTGATTTGGTTGGTGTTTTTTTTTTTTTTTGGCAATATATTAACCTTTATGGGTCATTTAATGCTGAAATCTAAATATTTTGCCCCACCCCTTTTTTTTTGACATAACAATCGTTTTAGTGATACAAGTCTTATGTTGTGTTCTGTGTCAACTTTTGACCCACACACTACTCATAAAATTGTATCAATGAAAAAGGTTGTTTATTTTTGGTATTCATTTTATTAAGAGTGGCAGCTTGGACTCTGCGATGCAATAAGTGGACTGATGTCACACATTGGCTCAGTGTCCTTCTGCAGGTGGTATTAGCTGGCTGTGGAAGGCACATTGATGCTTCAGAATTATGTGACCCTCTGTTGAATGTGTGCCATTTTTAACTTCTATTTAAAACCCAAAGACAATCTATTACTCACAGAATGCTCCACTCACAAGGCACTCAGACAATTGCTGACCATTCTGGCTCTGGCCTTCACAGTCTGTAACACTAACTAATTAACCCATAGCAGTGGCCACAACTTTGAGGTAGAATCTAAAATTGCCATGTATATGAAGTTGGCATTAGAAACATTCTCACCCCCACCAAACATAATTATGGATAAAGCTGTAATTTCTTAAATTTTCTTGAAAATTCACTGTGCATTTTTTCACAAATGATGAAATAAAGATTTGATAGAATGTACAGTTATACCCAGAACAAAAATTTTATTTTAATGTTAAACAATAGCACCTAAAAATATTTAACCAATAACCAATTGTGTAACATTTATTCTCAATTATTTCTAGATTGACAATTCATAGCATTATCAAGAAGTACAATGAGAATCATTGTGTAGAGAACAAGTTAAGAACTGGCAGAAAATGGTTAATTTCTGAGAGTATGGAAAGAAAACCTGTTAGATGTTTTGAAGAATTCTCTCTTAATGGCAAAAGAAATTGTCAATGTTATGCAGAAAGCAGGCTTGAATATATCGACAAAGACAATCACCAGATGCCTTTACTGAACAGAACTTTGAGCTTGCTATCCTAGGAAAACTCCCTTTTCTTTGTTTGTACACATCTACTATATTCATTTGGGGCTTTTTGTCAAGTTCAGCAGTGTTTGCCATGGTAGCAGAATGAATGAATTATTGCAGTACATGGCATTCATATATTTTCTTCTTCAGGACTTTCTAGAATCTTCTACCATCATGTCAATACAATTTAATTTTCAAAGGCTGTTATTATTAAATGTCAAATTAAGAAAAAAAGAACAAACATTATTGCAATATTATTTCATAATTTCCATATGGATGTGATGAATAATTTTGGACTGCACCAAGATCAAAACTTGTAAAACATTCACAAATTATTCAAAATATAATACAGAAAAAATTATCTATGACAAATTCATTAAGTACAAGCACATTTGCACATTTCCTTGGAAAATATACAAATATTCAGATTGTGTGTGTGTGTGTGTGTGTGTGTGTATATGTATATATATATATATATATATATATATACACACACACTGAATATATATATAGGTAAATTGTATTACAAAGTGGAAAAAGTTTTCTTGTGATGTGTTTTGTTCTTCAGGACTTCATCAAACTAAATTTGTTATGCGGGTGCAGCTACATATGTGCATGAATGAGATGTGCTGGGAATTTTAGAATTTTTTTTTTTTAAATCTAGCCAAATTTATTTAGAGTATTTTTCTTTTTCTTTCCGTTGTAAGTAGGTATTCCACATTGTGATATTAAAAGAGCTGCTAGGAATGGTGAAATATAGTAAAAGCCAGGGTGCAAATTTACTGTAGATGACTTTGCTATTAAGGCACTCTCTAGACATTGAGATGACTTTGCTATTAAGGCACTCTCTAGACATTGAGATGACTTTGCTATTAAGGCACTCTCTAGACATTGAGATGACTTTGCTATTAAGACATTTACATCATAGTGAATTATTTTTTCCTTTGATCAGAGTAGGATTTTTTACGTAAAATTGTGGTCAGTCTTGTTATGATGGGAAACCAACACATTTGACATATTCTTTTGTAAAATGTCCCTTTTTTGCTCATATAATCTTTTTAGATTCCTTAAGGTTTCTCTGATGCATTTTTTGTGACAATTATTACAGGTTAGTATTACTAATTTTCAGTGTCTTCCTATCGAAAATTTTCAATAGGAAGACACTGAAAATTAGTTACTCATGCATTAAAAATATGGAGAGAATCATATCTTCCCATTATTGTAGAATACTTAGAAACTATCATAGTAATGAAACTCAATCTAGTAACCCTACCTGCAATTGTAGGAATAAAGACCATTGTCCAATCGGGGGTAAATGAAAGTATGTTCCCCGCAGAAAATATAAACTAGAAAAAAGATATATAGGTATATCCGCCGGTGATTGGAAGCAGTATCTATACAACCATAAATGCTCTTTTAGATATAGATACCTCAGAAATCAAACTTCCTTATCCAAACACTACTGGGATCTGGTGGATAAGGGACTAACCCCACTTTTAAAATGGAGATACTTATCAAGAGCTAGAACCCCTAATAACTTCTAAGTATGATCTGTGTATGGCGGAAAAAATTTTAATTATTAAAGATAAGAATCAAGATGAGTTGCTAAATCTTCGTAATGAGATATTTTCTAAATGTAGACATAAGAAACGATTCAAAACATAAACACCATTTTATAACATGTTGTCACTTATGTCAGTTCCATTTTGGTTCAATAACATCGGGTATGACATTTTAATGGAATGACTATCATGTTTATCTATATATATCATTGTGTATGTCTATGTGATGCACTATGTATTTAATTTTTTTTTTGAGACAAATTTTTTTTAATTTTACTTTTTTAGATTTTACATTTTGATTTATATGTATATGTATGTACTTGTGTGTGTATGTGTGTATATATGTAGGAGTGTATGTATGTATCTATGTATGTATATGTATGCATATATGGATGTATGTATATATAGGTAGATGTGTATGTAGATGTGTTTATATGTGTGTGTGTATGTCTTGGTATGTATGTATTCATATATATCTGTATATGGGTGTATATGTATGTATGTATAGTTAGATGGATAGATATAAGGATACATTGTTTATTTGTTTAGATGAGTGTATGTAATTGTATGGCGATGTAAGGTTTTATGTATATATGTTTATGTGCACGTATGTGTATGTCCGTATGTATATATGTGTGTAAATATATATATATATATATATATATATATATATATATAGGAGTGGATGTGTATGGATGTATGTGTATATGTATGTATATGTGTGTGTATTTATGTATGTATATGTATATGTATACATATATGTATGTATATGAATATATATATATCTATACATGGGTATATGTGTGGATTTGTGTACACGCCTATATGTATGTATGTCTGTACGTGTACATGTTATTGTGTATGTGTGTATATGCATGTGTCTTTGAACATAGGAATATAGGTCCTTGCTAGATTAGATAATCGTTATATTTATTTTTTATATGTTTATATTTGATTTGTAACCTGTAGTTGATATTAATTTTGTCAAATTTTCTCAATTACAAAGCGGCCCTTTTAGTAAATGTCCTTCAGTTTTAGTTTCCCCCACCCCATCTCTCTCCCCCACCCCTTTTTCTTTTCTTTTTTTCTCCCTCCCTCTTCTACTGATCTTTAAGATGAGATCGTCTATTGTGTGTGTATGTCACCACAAAATGTATGTGGAAAGCTAAACGTGGAAGACTACTGAAAGCTAAGCTCAGAACTGATCTTTCTTGTCTAAATTTGTCACAATTACTGCACATGAGAACTATTTATGTAGACACGCTCAGTTTACACAATGATACCTACACTGATAGCTAATCTGCAGCAAATGTATACAAACAACACTCATAATGGCTGCCCACAATGTGAATGAATTGAAACTTTCACTGTCGATAACTCCAAAATGGTAGCTATTATTAAATTTATCAAGCCAGATTCAAATGGAGAATGTACAATTATACATAAATTTAAGTATTTTGGAAATTTTTAATTCAAACTGAGTGTGGGTGTCATACTGCAAATTAACCATTTAATGATAAATATATTATTATCCATTCCTCAAAATGCTCTGGCGTGTCAACCCCTATTCTTAGTTTGTGAACTTTTGCCATCATACTGTTGCTTTTCATTATTACTGTTAATTTGCCTTGCATATATTGTTTGATTGCAACATATTATTTTTTGCCCTGTTTTTTTCTTTGTCAACTCTGCTGGATACTTTTGTCATTTATTTTACATTTAACAATGGCCACTCACTCTACACATAGTAATTATTAAATGCATAGGGTGACCACAAACTTTTGGCCTCTAATGTACATCTCAGGAGAATTAGTTACAAAGAATAATCACTAACATTTACTGAGAACCCACAAGACTTACCTTAACTATTCAACAAGGATTAAAGTTTTTACATTTCTCATGAAACAACAGTGAACAACAACAAATTCACACAATTTCTAGACTAACGTTTCCTAAACGGTACTACGGGCTTTATAGATGTAGCGGAAGAGGATAGCAGGTGATGTGGAATGATTGAAAGACAAAGATTTAGAAACAGTTTAAAAAAAGTCATATGCCAAAAATAAATATGATTTTAAAATTTAAAATATTATTATGGATTACTTGTAATTGCATGCATGAGTCCTAATATAAATAGTTATAAATAATTATTGACCAATTTTATCATTGTTATATTTTTGCATCATATAAGTGTTAAGAATATAGTAACTAGAGTTCACAAATTGGAGGAGAGAGTTATCAATGATAATGTTCTGACTTCAAATCTGTGGTTATCCCTTTTAACTCTCTCTCTTTTTTTTAAATGTACTTTTTATCACATAGAATTTGGTGTGGTGTGTCCAAATTTTCAATATGAAGATGCAGCCCAGAGAAAAAAAAGTTTTGGAACAAGTGTGCTTGACTACAGACAGCATATATTACTTATTTTTATATAATGGATCCTTTTTTTTTTCATTTTTCCTCCTTTCTCTATACTTTCTTCATTTTGTTTTCTTTTTTTTTTCATGATTTCATTCTTTGGTATTTATTTCAATGCCCTCCTTCATATTTTACTATTTTTTTTATTCTTTCTTATTTTTATTGCCCTCTTTCTCTTTCTACTCCTTATTCACTGTTTCTTCATTCCATTTCTTCAGTCTTTATTTTTCATTTTCCTCCTTCTCTCTCTTATCATTTTTCATTTTCATCCTCCTCCCTCTCTTTTTACTATTTGTTTCTTTTTCATTTTCCTCCTCCTCTCTCTCTCCTTTTGTTCCATTCTCACTCTCTCTTGTTTTATTATGTTTATTCATTTTTATTTTTCTTCTCCTTTTTTTTCCTTAGTCTCTTTGTTTCATTCTCTCTCTCTCCCTCTCTCTATTTCCTTCTCTTTTTCTGTTTCATTTTCTCTCTCTTTGTTTCATTCTCTCTCTCTGTTTCTTTCTCATTCTCTTGTTTTACTATTTATTTACTGTCTATACTCGTGTATAAGCCGACTTTATGCATAGAGTGAACCCTAAATTCCCTGCATGAATTTTAACCCCTACAGAAAAAATTTACTTGTGTATAGTGCAACCAGTCATCAAAAATGCATGCTTCTTAAATCTCTTCACAAAAATTATCTGCATATAATGTGACTCCCTATTTTTTGCATAAAAAATGATCATGAGAACCCACACTGTACTTAAGTATTACTCTCTCTCTCTCTCTTATTAATTTATCAGTTTTCATTTTCCTCCTCCTCCCCCCACTCTTTTTGTTCCATTCTCTCTGTCTCCCTTCATTATTTGTTTATCCTTTTTCCTTTTCCCCCTCTTCCTCTCTTTTTGTTCCATTTTCTCTCTCTACCATTTATCATTTTTAATTTTCCTTCTCCTACTCTCTTTTTATGCCATTCTCTCTCTTTATTATTTTATTCTTTTCATTTTCTTCCTCCCCACTCTTTGTTCCATTCTCTCCCTCTATCTCTCTAAATAATGAAAAGCTAATGAAAAAGAATAAACAAATGCTTATTCTTTTTCATTATCTTTTCATTATTTTAAAATTCTTTTTCTTATTTTCTTTTTCTCTTCTTATTCCTCATTTCTTTATTTCATTTTTCCCTCTCTCACTTTTTACTATCTTTTCCTTTCCTCTTTCTCTCATTTTCTTATTCCTTTATTTTATTTCTTCTCTCTCTCTCTCTTTACATTTTTTTTTATCCTTTTCTGTATTTCATTTTCATTTCTCTCACTTTTACTGTTTTTTGTTTCTCTTTCCCCTCTCTTTCTATTTCTCCTTTTGTTTTTCCTTAAACCATGCTCTGATATAGTCAAATTAAAAGTGCTACACTTTTTAAAAAAATCACTTTTTTCTTATTTTTCTTTTCCTCCCTTTCCTTTTTCTATTTATTTATTTTTTTTTTCTCTCTCTCTCTATCATTTTTTATTCTTTTCTGCATTTCATTTTCATCTCTCTCACTTTTTACTTTTTTTGTTTCTCTTTCCTCTCCTCCTTTCATTTTTCCTTAAACAATGCTCTGATATAGTCAAACTAAAAATGCTACACTTTTTAAAAAAATCACTAAATCAGTCAATCATTCTCTTTTACAACATTTGCAACAAATATATATATATATATTTTTTTGTAAGTTTTCTTTGTATTTTTTTGTAGTTTTCTTTAATATTTATGAATTACATTGCATATTTCATCACGTAGACTCTGATGCTGAAATCAACCACTTTGAGAGTGTCAGGCCATTAATAGCTGTCTGTGAGAGAGATCACGCTTCCTATCTTCTATAAAGCAACTCAAATGGCAAAAATGGCACTATTCTTTATTATTTATTGTTCTTCTAACTTTTAATATGTTCTTTCCTTCACTTTTTGACATTTTCTTTCTTTTCTTCAAAAGTTCATGTATAATGTTTCTTGCTCTTCTCACAGCATTTTAAGCTTCTTTTTGCTGGTTTCCAGCACTTTGTACCATGCTGTGAATCTAAGGAAATTCTTCTTTTTTTTCCCTAACTTTTTGGTTAAGTATTCTTACAATCATGGCTTAAAATCTCAAATTTACATTTTAAAAATTCAATTTAGCAACTTTTACAGACTTGTTTGTGAACATAGCAGCACTCTATCTATCAATACATACATATATATATATATATATATATATATATATATATATATATATATATATATATAATGGACTCTCCCATTGGTTTCGATATATGTAGATCTGACAGCTTAATTGATTCAGTTATGAAATTTTGTGCGATAATCTTAAGTGGCACTTAAGACCTGCTAGTGATTTACAAAGGAGGCCACATATGGAGCAAGAGTGAGGATTGTGAGATAAGATCACTGTTAGATTAGCTGACCTTTTAGATCTTGCTCTCGCTTCTTGAAGAAGATTCAGACAAACAGATTGAAAACGGCTGAGTCCACTAAAACATGTTGATCACCATTCTACCTGCTCCAAGGCTAAGTGCTCAAGGGTGTTACGTGGTATATTGACAGTTGACGATTTAAATTATATATATATATATATATATATATATATAGGAGGCATGGTCGAGTAGTTGACACCAGCTTGGATTGAGAGCCGAGTTCAAATTACAATTGAATTCATTACATTTACTTACGTGCTAATACCCTTGAGAAAGGTATTAATCCTCTTCTTCTCCCTCCATCTATGGGTAAATAGCAGAACAGACTGGGTTCTATAGCCTTGGATGGCAACTGCTCTAGGATAAGGTCAACTCTGAATTCAAAACCTGCAGAGGGTCATTTGGTGACCTTGTGGCATGTAGTGCACCATTTCTCTGTATTCAGCACTTCAAAAAGTGTGGTTGCTTCTGCACAAAGCCTTCACCACTAGAATCAAATCATATGTGCTGATGTCTGGTACTGCATTTAAGGTTTTCATTCAATTTTTCTTGTGTTCGTGTAAATGTTTTCTTTTCTGGACATCTAAAAACTGTTAAAGTGTTCTATATATCCAAGCACTTTTGACTATTCTATTAGCCTTCATCAAGGATGTTTTTTTTTAATTTTTATTTTTAATTGAATGTGTAGAATTTTATATATATTTCCAGAGTGATAGAAATGTTTTTATTTTCCAAACACAGTCAGCACATTGTAGCCGTGTTCATAGTTAATATTATTGCGCATTGGCTTTTACTTTTCTTTATTAGTAGTACTTCCATAATTTGTAATCTTTTTCTACATTCAGATGAGGCTATTATAGTTGTATTTTTATGAGTATGTTGCAGATGGATTTTGGTAGATTTCCATGTATGTTGAAATAAGTCCTAATTGAGCTATAGTCAGAGAGGTATAATTTGAGTCTTCTTAATAGGCATGTAGTAGTATCTCCAATATAATTATTCACAGATTTGGTTTGATCAGGTATGCAGTTCCTTAAAGGATATGTGAATTCATAAATAATATTGGTTTTTGTCATCATTTATGTATTTGCACGTCCTTTAAGGAACTAAAGCACAAGGGGTTACTGGGTCTGAAAGAATTAGAAAACAGAAACATTATTAAGGAGCAAGAACAATTGAAGAGTAATCAGGAAGACAGTTGATAACAATTGACATTGCATTTAAATTTTTGAAGATCGAAATTGGCTGGATAGCATGCAGCAGGAAGAGAGTTCCACAAGCGAGAAGTGCAAGAAAAGAAACTGTTAGCAGAGAACTTAAGGTTATGTCTAGCTAAATCAAATGTCAATTAAATAAACCTTGTTGCCAAACTAGTGCGGCAAAAAAATAGAATTGCTTCTCAGCCTTTCAGCTAAGATCATTGTGTAGTATCTGTTCTTATCAGTTTAATCTCATTCTTTCTCTCTCTCTCTCTTCACCTTTATCTTCCCTTCTCTTTCATTTTCTCACTGAAACCAAGTAGTGTCTTTTGCCTCACATTCCACATGATCAAAACAGAGTAGTAAATTGTTTATGAGGTATTAACAGGGAGTAATGGTTGGGCAAACTAACAGAGGGAGGAACAAAATGGAATATTTCTTTACCTCCAATTTTTGGTCAAAGATAACAAAATATCTGTGATGACCCTATGGCAGCAGGCCTCCAAAACTTTTTAGACTATCAACCCTTTCATGGAATCCTTGAATTTTTCACAACCCTTTGTACAAAAAAATATCAATAATAATTCTATTTTATTTAAGATGGCCTTTTCTCTTTATTATTGTTTTGTGATAAGATTCATTTTAGCTTTATAAGTGATTTTTTTTTCTTTTTCTAATTTCTGTCTCTTTATATTATAGAGATGTTTGTTCAAACAATAAAATATCATAGACTAAACTTCATAAATATTATAGGTAATAAGAAACACACACATATATAATATATCCTAGGGAGGCAAGAACTACCTACCAAGGTTACAACTAATGGATCTTCAGGGCTAAACTTGCTCTAGTTTAGCCCTGAAGATTCCATAGGTGAAACCTTGGTGGGAAGTTCCTGTCTGACTAGGATTTTTTTAATACTTTGCTCTACTTTGTGTATTGAGCGTTTTTACGGTTTTTTTTGGGGGGGGGTTACCCAATGTTTTTTTTTTTTTTTTTTTTTTTTGGGCTCGGCATTCTGGTGTTGGTTTGTTTTTTGTTTTTAGTCATTTCTTTTTTTCTGAATTTTTTTCCCTGATACCAGTTTGTTTAAATATATTTTTATTTTCAAATTGTACTATCCAGATTTTTTTCATACCAATCAATTATAGGTATATATATATATATATATATATATATATATATATAATTCATGCGTATTATAAATATAAGGAAGGATTGATTGATTTGCCTTTGCTGTAAAGTAGTTTTCACAGTGGAGGCTTGTATTTTGCTAAGTTGGTCCTAAAAGGGTTCAATGTACAAAACGTTAGGAACTTGAAATAATAGTTAATGACGCAACAATTTAGTTGTGGTCATTGATACTTCAATGTCCGACATCAACTGACTCACTCAACTCCACTGAGCCCAATTGGCGACTGCTACTACTACTACTTATTATGTGTGGGAGAGTCTATTACAATAGAATAGGTAATGCTCCGGTATAACAGCTTTTTATGGCTTATTAAACTTTTGCAGGTTATTTATAGCCAACAAATATTTTTAGATAGTAAGAATTTTTTGAAGTTCATAAATAAGTTATTGATCTGAGTTCTACTAATTAACTCATAGCTGACCAGAAGTGGGAGATTCATACCTTTCCCAAATAACTGCTTATATCATAGTAGCTTTATTGCCTTGCTTGGGGCTAAATGATTAAAAAAAAATCAAGTAACTTTCTGGTAGTTGGAAAGTCATTCCTGCAGGAGTTATGGTAATTATGGGAAAATTATATTGTGATGGTTTCAGCTACTGATTCCTTGGCATTGTTGAGAATATTGATAGTAGTTATAGCAATAGCACTGGTGGCATAATGGAATGAGTACTTTGTCAGAAAACCAATCCTGTTGGCAGAAATGTGTACAGACAGCAAAGCCCTTATTAGTTATCTACCCACTCATTTATATCTTGCCCTCATTCTGACTGCAGGGTGGCTATTGCTGCTCCTCCTCTTAGTATCCTGTCTCATTGCATAATATCTGTTTTCTATAGTTTCAGACTAAAAGAAAAGAAAGGCAAATGTAAGAATAAAATAAAGTGAAAGTACTTTCAATTCTCCCCACAATTTACTGATTCTTATATTTGCCAGAAGTTAGCAGAAAAAAAATAGCAGATAACAAGAAAGAAGGGGAAAGATGGCAGAGAATAAAAGAAAACAGAAAATATTTGTTTTTTTTTTATTTCCACATTTTATTTTAACAATCCTTTTATTTTCCTTTTCTTATATTTTCTCTCCCATTTTTTTCATTTTGCATTTCTTTTTTTACTTGGGACTTTCTTAATTCTCTCTTTTGACTTCCTCCTCCCTCCATTTATTTTTTTTTTTTTTACTTTCTTTATGCTTTTTCACTCATCACTAATTTTTTCTGATTTATTTTTAGCCAATTTTCCTTCCTTCTTCCCAATGTGTTTTCCTTCATCCTGTCTTTTTCCTTTCTTTATGCTTTTTCTTTCCTCCCTCCGTTTTTTTCTTTACACTTGTCATCTCTCCCTTTTTCCTTTCTTTACACTTTCCTCCTTTTTTCCTTTCTTTACGCTCGTTCTCCTTTTTTCCTTCTTTTACGCTTTTTCCTCCCTTTTTTCCTCTCTTTACGCATTTTCCTCCCTTTTTTCTTTCTTTACTCATTTTCCTCCTTTTTTCCTTTCTTTACGCTTTTTCCTTTCTCCTCCTTTTTCCTTTCTTTACGCATTTTCCTCCCTTTTTTCTTTCTTTACTCATTTTCCTCCTTTTTTCCTTTCTTTACGCTTTTTCCTTTCTCCCTCTCTTTTTTCCTTTCTTTACACATCTTCCTCCCTTTTTTCCTCTCTTTACGCATTTTCCTCCCTTTCTTCCTTTCTTTACGCTTTTTCCTTTCTCCCTCTCTTTTTTCCTTTCTTTACACATCTTCCTCCCTTTTTCCTTTCTTTTACTCATTTTCTCCTTTCTTCCTTTCTTTACGCTTTTTCCTTTCTCCCTCTCTTTTTTCCTTTCTTTACACTTTTTCTTCCTCCATTCTTTATGCTTTTTTCTTCTCTCCATTTTCCTTTCTTTATGCTTCCTCTTTGTTTTTCTTTACACTTTTCCTACCTTTTTTCTTTACACTTTCTTTTCCTTTCTTTATGCTTCCCCTTCCGCCATTCTTCTTCCTTTCTGCTTTTTCTTTCCCCTATTTTTTCTTAATATCTAACACCTTTTGCTTTCTTTCCTCAGCATTACCTCCCATTATCAGTGTTCTGTTTTCTTTCATTCTTTCTTCCCCATTTTTTTTATTTGCATTTATATTTATTAGTACTTTTTTATTTTTTTCTTCAGTTTTTATTTTTCCTTGTTTTCTTTCATTCCTCTCTTATTCCCTATTGATTTTACTTCATTCATCACTTTTCTTTCTTTCCCCCTCTCTCATCTGCTTTTATGTATATCTGCCTGACCACTGAATCCATAAAATCCCTCCTCACTTCCTATTCTCTGTCTATCCTGCCTCTTTCCTAAATCCCATTGCAGTGTTTCACCAAATATCCATTACACTTATCTTGTTATAAACAGTCTAAGAAATGACTCAGCATTATCACATATCAAGCAAGTGATTATACTGTCATTAAATTACCAAGTCAATGTATACTCATTCTGATCATGGCTTTATCATCTGAGGACATAAATTATCTTTTATATTCTGATCAAGTGACTTTGTATGTTTCTAGGAGGCAAATCTATAACCAAGCCTTACTCATCTTTTCAGCTGGTGCAGTATGACTAAGCCCATATGTGAGCCAAATTGATCACTCAATTGATTCAACACAGAGCAAAGGCGTCCTGAGTATGACAATAAACTCACATCCGACAGCAAAGCCTCTGATCAGGTGGTTTTGAGGAATGTAGAACCACCTCGTAATTGCTAGTGTTCCCAGGTCCACCCTGACCCGGGTAGTAGCACCTGTTAGGGTCCAGATTATGGACAAATAGTAAAACCCCAAATAAAATACTATAAAAGGGTAAAATTAGGTTTTTATAGTAAAAATACTAGAAATACATTTTTGAAAAAAAAAAATTATTACCAGCAATACATTAGACTCTTAACAAAAACCCTCTTTACAAAAATATGTCAATGAAACCTGCACTACAGACTGATTTCTTATAAAGAATACATATTTATCTTGAAAATCTTATCAGTATTAAATAACCCATTGAGATTGATATGCCATAAAACAAAATAAACGAAATCAAAACAATCTAACATGAATGCAAATGGTAATATATATTTCTGCAGTATTAAAAAAATATTTAAAAATTGAAAATTATTAGAAGCCGATGTAATTTTAATGAATTTTTCTTTTTATATATACTAAAATTCACCCAATACAAGGCTCAAAAGACACTCAAAGTAGAGGGCTACTGTTAAAATGGTTAAGATGGATGAGGTGTGTGATATGAATAAAAGGGGTGGCAGAAAGTGAAGATTATGAGGATAAGGAGGATAGATAATGATTCACTCTTGATTCTTAAGAGTCTTCAGGCAAGCATCTACACAGGAGTCCTATGAAGAAATATTTTTTTTTTTTTTTCAGGGAGGGGGTAACTCTAAATGGAACTTTCTAATTGTTTTTTGGTGGATGGGGGGGAGCTGTCTGAGTGGAACTTTATAATTGTTGTTTGGGGATATATGTGTTTATAGTCCACACTATTCAGTTATTGTATGAGGGTTTGTAACATTATTTTTAGAACGGATCTGCCTTTTTAATGATGGCTGAGAAAGTAGAGCAAAAATGCCTGCTTAGAAAATCTGCTTCCAAGATGCTTTGTCAGCTGTTTGGTATTGAGCACAAGTTTTTTTGAGTGTCAGATGTAAACAGTAGTGTTCTCTGATTATTGATTAAAAATGGCTTTGAACGAATGAACCATGTAGGTCTTAATGAGGACTATACTTTTTCAAATTTCATGGACTACACAATCACAAGGAACTGTATAAAGTAAAAAAAACATATCAATTGAGGACTTTGAAAATAAAAGCAACAACTAAAATAGATATCTCATGATACTTGAAGAAAGAAATAGTATAATTAAATTGGTGGTGTTAATACTACTTCATAGGAAAAATTCTGTAAGTTTCATTCGTCAAATGCAATCTAATGAGGAAAGAAATATTATTATCATTACCATTAATAGCTAAGGTTCACATTCCAATTTATTTCATCAGTTTTAGTAATTTTGTCATATATTTGTATATGATACAAATAAGAAGATGTATGCATATATATATTTTCAAATTTATAAGATAAACATGTTATAAGCTCACTACAAAATTTGCAATTTTGTTTCAACGCTGCTGGTGTCACTTGATAAGACACCAGCAGTGTTTAAACAAAATTGCAACTTTTGTAGTGATCTTATAACATGTATATCCAATAAATTTGAATAAATATTATTAGCCCTACTTGGTATTGAGCACATCTTTAAGAATAGTGTTTTTGGTTATTGGAATTTTATTTCATCTGTGCCAAAACTGTACTTGTGTGTGTGTGTATATATATATATATATATATATTTATGTTTTGATCAATAAAAATATTAAAAAATTAAAATCTTCAGACACACTGGGTTAATATTAATATTTTGTTTTTATTATTTTAGTTAGATTCCTCGACTAGTTTGGGGCACCTCGAGGTGGTGTAATGGTTAGCACGCTTGTCTCACTAGAACAGTTACGACTGGGTAGTGAGTTCAATCCTCACTGGGTGCCCCATACTTTCGGCCTTGTGCCACATCTAAGCTACGCTTGGAAAATCACTAGATTTCTCGACTAGTTTCGGCCAACATGGCCATCATCAGGAGAAAAATAATTTCTGCTTGTTAGTAGAAGTGAAGTAAAGAAATGAATCAAAAACATTTCCTTTTGAGAGAAGCCCTCTACATAAAACATCTTGCACCCAGAATTAATCTCACTTTATTTATCAAAGCAAATAATGTGTTAAAGTTTTTTTTTTTTGTTTTTTTTTTTAAATAGAAGGGTGCCAACTCTAATTCCAGCTACAGCTAGGATAAAAACTATTCAATAGTCATCACACAACTATATCTTAAAAGATAACTGTAAAATTAAGAACAATTAAGAACAACCCCCCCCCTTTGTAGTGGACTGGTAAATATGATTGTACCTTTTTTTTTCATATTTTAAGTAGAAGAGAATTAAAGGGTAATAGCAAAGAAAGAGATGGGTGGAGATTAAGATATGTTTCGTGAGCAGAAATGATCAATTGAGAAAAATCGTCGAAGGTGCGTGTTTATAAGCAATAATGTGGACTTTGCTAACCAGTCACTTCTCCATGGCTGAATGGTTGACAGCACGCCAGATCAAATGACGGTTCCTATTAGGGTTACAGCTTTGATTCCTGTTGAGAGCACATATTTTCTACAAAATTTAACAAACATTGAGGCCGGTAAATGTAATTAATACGGTTTAATTAAAGAAAAAGAACACACTACTTAAATAAATTATATCTATAAAATTATAAAGTATAAATAAAAATATAAACTGAAAATATATTAAATAATTGTCAGACTTAATCCATTTCATTATATATATATGTATATATATATATATATATATATTTTACAATGAATCATTCATACAAAAAGTAAATTAGTAAAGTTAATGATATAAAATGGTGAAATCCTTTTGCAAACTAAAATTTAAAGTTGCACTAGAAATCACACAATGAATGTTATGATCCTTGTTTTTAATAACTACAAGCTGTATAAGGTCTTTTTTTAATCTGTAAGTACTTTCAACTGTACATTCAGTCATCCTCAGGCATGGAAATTATTTTGTTTTTAGTAAAATCCAGGTAGCATCCGAGATGAAAAATTAAATGCGAATCGAAATACGTCTTTTTTTTTTTTAAATGTGTTATTGTTAATGGATACAAACTTCAAATAGTGATCTTTGTAGAATTCTGCTTATATAAATACAGAGCATATGAAGAGGAATCAGGTAGTTACTAGTGCATTACAATGAGGTGATCATTTTCCCAGCATCTTTAGGAAATGATTGAAATAAACAAATTCCATTTGAGGTTCGGGTTTAACTTGAGTCCTGGTAGGCAGTCAAGACAAGGAACTGTAATGGGGTCAAATGTTGTAGTTGTTTATGTAAGTTACTCCCATGTGATATATATTGGTAGTTGATAGAGGATTCCTTTTCTCTTTTTTATACTGAAAATGAAATGAATAAAGCATACAACAATGAGACCTTGGGACGTGTTGAAATTAATGACAAAAATGTCTATATTTCTTTTCATGGTGTTATTTACAATATTGGTTTCGTGTGTGTTAAATGTTCTCTGGGTTATTGTCTCTTTTTGTTTCTTTAAAATTTGGGCTTCAGCCAGTTATGTGCCATGCATGATACATGCTAAGGCAATCATGTATCTTTCAATACATGACTGATGAGGCAGATTTTTTTCCCACAGTAGATTGCCATTTCTTTCTGTGGTAGATCAGTTGCCACCCAAGACTATAGAACCCGGTCTGTCCTACTATTTACCCATAACTGAGAGGAGAAGAGGAGGTTTCATACCTTTCCCAAAGGTATTAGCATGTAAGTGAATGTAACAGATTCAAGTGAAATTCAAACTCGGCTCTCTGATTCCTCAATCTGAGCCACTATCCATTGCTCCACTGATAGTTGGGTCAATTTGCTTATAATTGTTCCAAGAATTTCATGGTTAAGGGAAGCTTTTGAAACTGTAATCTCTGAATTTTCACAGAGCGAACAAGATAGATCTTGTCCATGTTGTTTTTTTTTTTAATACTGCTAGCCTTGCTTGTAGCAGAAGGTTCGTTTTTATAATGATGACGTTTTAAATCTTTATTTCTAGAATGATGAAATATCATCATCATGAATCATAACAAAGCCTTCTACAGAGAACACTTTGTTAATTGCAATAGATAAAAATTCAGTCTACACAGTGATGATGGCATGTTACGAGTTTGATTTTTGAATTATTGAAAGTTACAAGCGTGTTTTGCTCCAACAGAGCAGAGAAGAGATCACTGCCAAGCTCTGGTCATCTAGTCTTTTGAAGACGCACTCATATACAATTGTATTCACTAAAGATCAGTAAATGTTCTTAGACAGATTGTTAATATAAAGCAGAAAGAAGAGTGAGCCATGAGGGATTACTGCATTGATTTCATGTGCTTCAGAGGACTGGACATTAACAACTATCTTCATTGACTTATCTGATAAGGACTTGATAATTGACATAGCTGGTGAGTTTGTGTAGCAACCCCCTATGCAACACATTGTCAAAGGCCTATATTATAATGTGTCTAATACATTTTGGCTATCTGCCCTTGGTTCGGTCAGAAACAGGTAGTAGTTGGTTATTTAATTTACATACATACAGAGTGTAGCAGAAATACCTCCTACAAAATAGTAAGA